TATATATATATATATATATATATATATATATATATATATATATATATATATATATATAATTTCTTTAAAAACTAACTATACAACATTTGAAGAATATTACAGATCGTATTCGTGAAGTCACGAATTTCAAACGCGGAATGTACATATCATATCATCTAAATAGAATAAATCTTTATTTCACCGGTCAGAGAGGTGCTTATCACGCTCATGACGACTCAAAGTTGCCTGTGTCGTCGTGACTAATTGAGAGAAACATCGTTATATATTTAACTATTCGTACTTTTGCATTTTTAACGACCCATACGCTAAAATCGGGCGCCATGAGAAGCGCGAATCTAATTTTAAATCGCATAACTACGAGAGCGGATTAAAATATAATTGCACAGAATTTTTTCGCGTAAGGAGAGAGAGAGAGAGAGAGAGAGAGAGGGAGAGAGGAAATATAACTAATTTAGTTAAAGTGTAAAATACGGAAGGTCGGTACACTTTAATAAGCGCTCATTTTATGAAACTCATTAAATCTTTTGCGACTAATATCGCTTATTCAAGAGACCAAGCGTTCCATTCTTTTTCTCGCTGGTCAAATAATATTCATGAATATTCAACTTGTTTCAGACGAAGTGACTTAGTCATATGCGTTAAAGGGAAAATATTGTAAGATAGAAGAAAAATCAAGATAAAAAATACCTTCTATCACTATCCAAACAATTCTTTTATGAAAACACGTAAAATGTTAACAAAATATAACGGAAATGGTTGTATAAAATCCCTGTCTATACAATATTTTTCTTTTTTCAGATAAATTCTCTCTCTGTCGACCGAAATATTTCTCTCCCTCGATAGCACCGTTGAAACGATCCGACCAAGTCGTTCTGCGCGAAAGATACATCAGTGACGTTTACGTGTATAGAATGAAATTTCATTTACAATAGTGGGAGAGAGAGAAAGAGAGAAAGTGAGAGAGCTAATATAGATCAATATTCACACAGACACCGCTTTACTTGTGCTATAAGTACGCAGTGTGCTTACTACTGTGCTCGAGGGCGGCGAGAACATCCTGCTTTTGCCTAACGTACAATCGTCCCTTTTTCCATGGGTTCTGCAATTGAAGGGGCTTAAAGTCGTCCCTTAAACAACGTTCGCGCGCACCAATTACGGCAACTAAACAGAAGTTTGGTAGCTCGTCGGCCGTGTAGATAGGCCCCTCTTGACCCTTCAGCACCACTGCCATGTTCAACTGCTTAACAACGAGATCCACGACTTCTCGCGCCGTGGTCCTTGGTGTTACATGTAACTTCAAGCTAGTGCCAGCCGCTAAACCAGTCTCGTAGGCCGCATAAACCTGCAACGCAACATACGTGTCTCTTATGTCCTTCCGCGTCAATCGCATGTGGCTTGAACATTAGAGAGAAGAAAGATTGAACGTAAACTATCCTGCATCGATCAGCAAAATGCAATAATTTTGAATAAGGAGTGAGTGTGTCGGCGAATGCAGCCGCAAGTTAGTGAAAACACAGCTCGAATAAAATTTTGCACAAACGTCGCGACGTGTATGTGTGTTGTTAGCTACGTATAATATACAACGGTGTGTCTGGAAGACTCCAGCGAGTAAAAAACGAGAAACATTTCCCAAAACGTTTCACAGCGTTATGTCTTCCAAAGCTCCGTTCTTTTGGATAATTCATTTAGTCATTTAGCCTCGCAGTCCCATAGACACACTTTGCGCAATGGACGTATTCTCTTAAAATGAATCAGTGAATAGTCACTGATATCAGTTATAATTATAGCACTGAGCAATTTCAGTACTATACTTATAATTGCAAATCGGTGTGTATTCACTGCTTTCAATGATGTTTCACTGATTCACTTTAAGAGAGTACGCTGAGAAAATGCGAAATACGTTAAAGCCGCAACAACAGTAGTGTAGAGCACGACACTGCCACAAAAAGTCACGGATATCACTTATAATGTGTGCCTTGCTGCAAAATACTCCCCGGCCGTGACTTTTCAAACTGTCACAACGCATCGCATCGTAATCACAGGGTTTGCCCTTGTAAAAAACAGCCGTTACAGAATGTACCACAGCGACCATAGTGATGACAATCTTTTTCATGCCGCGCTAATTTTTGACACACTAAGCATAACGTTTGAAGCATAACCGAGCAGAGCAAGCGTTGAGATGTAGCGATGTGGCGGCTTACTTAATGTGTCTGCTACATCGGTTTGCACTAGGGACCAAGTGAGCTGTTTCTAATTATAATCGGGCTAGACTTGTGTTCCCTATAAGTGAAAAATATCATTTAAGAACTCTCTACGCTCGCGAATTCAGGAGAAGCATTTTTCTTTCTGCAATTCCGAGAGTGAACGCAGAGTGAGAAATCGACGAAACGTCATTTCTATTACATTTTCTCCCACATCTATCTCGATTACATCTACCATTAGACGCGCTACGCGCGTAAATCACGAAGTAGGATAAAGTCGATAGATCTACCTGAAGGATGCCCGGTAAGGGCGCCGGCATCATCGTCGCCTCTTCCTTCTCCTCGTCCGCGTCTTGCGACGCGGTGGCCATCGCCGCGACGCTCGCGGTCGGCTTGGACGTTTTCACTTTGATTGCGTGGCCAGGCTTCAAGACGCAAACGCTGGAATTCGGCGTAGTGTACTCATCGCTACTCAGCGAGTGTAGACTGTCTGAATTCGTGTTGCTGACGCTCAGCATACTCGTGGTGTTCGTCATCGCCGTGGAGACGCTGAGTAACGAGCCGCCGTACATGATCGGCTTGATGCTCAGCAACGGACTGGTGCTAGCCGACGCCGAGGTGATCGTAGCGGATCGGTTTCGCGGGCTGTGCTTGTATTTAGTTAAGATCAGCGTGTCCTCGGATTTGGAAGGCGGGAGTCGCGTGTTCTGCAGTGGTATCAGGTGATTCGCGCTACTGGTTGTCGTCAGGTTGCTCAGGTTGCTGCTGCTGCTCATCGGCGCGCACGATTTTTGCGGCTCCGAGCCTGTCGATACGTTCGACGTGTTGCTACCTTTGCGTATGTATTGTCCGCTGGGCAGCTGCTGCTCGCTCTTGCTGAACTCCGTCGTGAGAAGATTGGACGATGAGTTCGACAAATTTGGCCCTGGCCAACTGCCTCGACCAGGACTCGACTTGACGAGCTTGGGATCTCTGGGAGGTAGTTGTAGCAAGCTTCGTTTCAAGCTGTTGCTGTTGTTGCTGTTGTTGCTGTTCTTGTTCCTGTCTAGGCTGAGCAAGTGCTTCATGCATATACCGACGGTCTGCGACGCGGCCTGCGTGAATATCGATTAATGAGCAACGGGAGAGAATAATACGACGATTCAAACTTGCCTCCTAATCGTGTTCGTAATGCATCATGCGACGATACTTACGTTCAGTTGGGAAGAGCCGCGATCTCTCGCGAAGGTGATGACGTCGATCAGCCACCTGGCGCCTTTCCACACAGTGTTCACTTGCGACTGTAGATCCTGCAGCCTCGCAAGTTTGTCCTTCGCGACGCTCAGTTCTAGCGAGCTGAAAGCCTCTCTGTGATTATGCTGGGCCTGCGCCGTGTCCAGTTCGAGGATGCAGCTGAGCCGCGAGTAACGATTGATCACATCCTTCTGATACGTGTTCAAGTGCACCATCTCGAACACTTGGATCGGCAACGACAGGAGATCACCGCGCTGCAGCAGGATTTCCCGCGTGCCGGGCACGCAGCACGCGGTTTCGGCGGGCGGCACGGCGATCAAGAACGACACGTCGTGCGTCAGATCGATCACCTCGGCGTCGTACAGTCGATGCACCAGTGACTCATCCGGGCCGATCTCCATGTAATTGAATAGTCGTCGCGCGGTCGCAGCGACCAAGTCGACGAACAGCTTCTGCTGCTCCGTGCCTTGAGACTCGTTCGTCACGTTCTCCTTCTCCTCGGATTCCTTCACGGAAGACTCGGACAGGTAAATGCGCGTGACCCTCTTCAGGTAGTCCCACTCCTCCCTTGAAGCAGACGAACGTCAAGATACAAAACAGCGCAACAATCGCGGTGAAAAGGAGGAGATCACAGCGTCTCGGAACGATCAGTTTTCGCGACGTCGTTTCTCTCGCGTTTCAAGAAGCGTGTACTTACGCGGACACGTGCGGATTGTCGCGGATCTTGCAGTGCGGCAAGACGTTCGGCGATTTCGCCGGCACGACGACTTGTATGAGGTCCACGCTGCTTTGCATCTTCAAGTAGCCGAGGTACAGGCCCTTGGACAGTTTGATACCGCTGACCTGGTGATATGTCATTTGTTCTTGTATGCTGGCCATCAAGATATCGGCGACGTTGCTGTCCTCGTGCGTGATGACTTTCTTTATGACCTTGCTGAGCGGTAACCATCTGCTGTTCAGCACGGAGACCAGTTTCGGTGACTTGATGTAATTCACCGTCGAGAACACCAGAGTACCTTGGATGTCTCGGATGGGCTTATGGTACAACTGACCGAGATCTTGCGTGCACAGCGCGGCCTGCAAAGACGTGTTACCGGGAGGAGTTATCATAGAGTACTCCTTCATATATTAACCAGGAAAATACTTGAACATTTATTTGTGGTACGTAAAGTTTATTTCTGTGTAGAATAAAATTTGTACTCTGAGTAAATTTTATATTTCACAAATAAATTTTCAAGTTTTTTATTCTGTTAAAGGCCATATTCTTCAATCTTAACATCTATTTAGATTTTAGAGTCGTCATATATTTGATTTCTTTTATTCTCAGTGTACTTTAGTACGATCGAATTCGTCGAAAATGTCACGAATGAGAGAATTCAAAAGAATTCTTTGAACATTTACGTTACGTACGGCTATAAACGTACCTGCATTTGGGCAGCGGCCTGAAGCAGCTTTATCCTGAAGTGGTTGGTCGAACTGCTGTGGCTCTTTTCCATATCCTGCCGAAGGGACTTGACATCGTCCCAGGTGCAGGCGACTTTCATGAGCCAATGAAAGTCGTTGTAGATGCAGCTGGGATACGTCTCGTCGATCTCGATCACGGGTAGGAAGTCCTCGTTGGTCACCAGGACCTTGTCCTCGTGGTAGAGCAGGCACGCGAGAAACACCCCTCGCCTGAGATTCTTCTGAAACTTGCTCGTCGCCGTGAACAGCTGCTTTATCGTCGTTTTCTTCTTGTGATTCCGCCTCTGCACCGCCGGCGTCTCTTGCGTGTATTCTGGCCGTCTGATGTCGGTGAACAGAGTGTTCAGTTGCTCCAGTCGTCCCGCGAATCTCGGCACTCTGCCATCGATGTCCCTCCAACCTTCAAGTGGCAGCACGGTAAGATCGTTTGCAAGATCGAGAGCACTCGTCATACGCATCGGGACGCAATAACATACGACAGCTTGCACGATACTCACTGCTGGGTGTCACATGCGCGGGCGTTGAATTCCTAAATCTGCTGTAACCCTTCAAATTTCCGGCGGCGGCGCGAAAGTGATATCTCTGACCTTGGGTCAGACCCTCGATACGGCACTCCCTCTGCTTCATGTCCAAAACCTCCCTTTCGCCGCAAACGACTGAGAAGTCGTCGTGCAGACTCCACTGGACCTTAAACTTGGTGCAGATCGGGGAATCGTGCGAGTCTGGCTCTTGAAATCTGACCGTTACCGAGGTCGTGCCAGTAACATCGACCGCGACCAGAAAAGGCATGTCGGGTGGTCCTAACGCGAAAAAAGGAAATTCTTCAGCATCAGTGTCGAGAACATTGTTTCCTCGTGTAATAAATAATTTCGGATCTTTCCAGTAAAATAAAACTGTATTTTCATGTCGTTATAATCTTATGAAATAATGGGCGCGGATGATGGTGGTAGATCGTTGATTAAAACGATGCATCGTAAAGTTAGAACGAATATGAAAATACAGTTCCGTTTTATCGGAAAAATCCGATATTATTTGTTAATAAATAATCACAATCTAATAATTTCTTAATAGGTTCCTACTTGAACGCGCAGCTGGCACACAAATTGCCATAACGTAGGGATATTTCAGAGTTTAATGTACTGAATTAATATAGAGATGGAGAATATAATTTCACGTATATATAAATTTCATCATAATCGTGAATATAATATTATGATATGTATTATGTGCGTTTCAATGCATCGCGCAATCGAGCCGATTAATTTTGATAGGACTTAATAGTGAACTCACGTGCTTGGTCGAAGCCGAGCAACATCTTTCTGAGAGCTCTGGCCCTTCGCTCCCACAGGGCGAGTTGCTTGTCCTCCGTGCTACCGCCGCATCCTGTGAGGTTATTATGTTGCGTGGAAAAACTGGCCCTATGGCTGCTGGGTGGTTCCAATAGAGTGGTCCCACCGCTGCCGGAAGTACTGCCGCCGAGTTCTTGAACTCGGTGTTCCGCTTCCGAGAGCAACGATGCCAAGTGGCTTCCCAAAGATTCCGGGGACTTGACTGCGTTAACGAAACGTCGCGTGTGCATAATTAAAACGGAGCTGCGTATGAATAATTTAGTGGTCGAGCAGGTATGCGCGGCCAGGCCGGCGATTACATTTGAAGCGCGCGCGCGCGCTTCACGTCTACCGATCTTAATTATACGTATTCGCATTTTGATGAACGTTGATTTCGTCACAAACCGCGTATATTGTGCCGCGCGCAATTACGTCGCTAATTAGGGTATTTGCCATTGCATGCGATCGTTCACCGTAATATCGTCGCGTGTGATATCTTATAAGGCTGCACGCTCTCGTCGCGGATTAATCGAGGGTCTTGGAGCTGCAGTTATTGCAAATTAGTGATCATGATTTCACCGTGAATTAGCGAAAGCGCGCTATGACCAGGCAGTATTGCGGACAGGATTGAGCGGAAGTCTTACTGCATGTTGGCTGCAAATTACGGCACGTTAATTACGATTGGTTACGGACAACAATTATACTGTCGATTGAAAATTAACTGCGAAAATAGATGACGTAAGAACTCGTTAAAAATGAACGATGGTGTGATCGCGAGGAGATTAGTGAAAACCACGCGAGGGGCTTCCTGGTTAGAACCAATCTAACGAGGTGTCAAATCGACTTTTTGAAAACATTTGTCCTCGCGAACACAGAGAGTGTCTATCGAGTTGAAAAACTCCTGTTATCTTGCCCCGACATTTGTAAGGATTCTCCCTCGTCAGACATCTCTGAAATTAGTTCGAAAGAAATCTCTTTTTCCATCCACTCTTTTCTTTCTATCTCTGTCCCTCTCTTTCTCTTTCTCTTTCCATCTCATATTTTATTTTCGTGGAAGATTGGTGTTCTAACGATGTCGTCACTGGAGCGCTAACGAGCGTAATGGGACAAATTAAGACGCGAAAAACTTTCGCGGGGATAAACGAGGATCAAGTTGTTGGGTTGATAACGCGCGATTCTCACGCGCGATGTACTCCGTTGAGAAAAAATTTGCACCCTCGAACTTTCATATGTTTTGCCGCCCGCGAATAAATGCGGCGCGAAACTTCGCGTATTTTTGCGAATTCGGAACCCGTCGCGATCGCGACCAGCACGTAGAACACAGCGACAGGAGAGGATTTCGGCATTCATCGTGCACAGCATTCCCCGTGTTCGACTAATATGTCGAGATGAGGAGAACTTTTTTCGCTCGCGTTTACAGTTCGCGCAATTCACATAAGCGGGTAGACATATCACTGAGAGAAAGAGAGAAAGAGAGAGAGGCACGTTTAGATACCGCCAGCAGGATCATATCGCGTCTCCGCCATAGTAATTACGAGTTCGATGTATCGAGCAGAGAGACGTTATAATTAAAAACGTCGTGAAAAAGACCAACGAAAAGCGCTTCCTCCATTCCCCTCCCTTTCTCTCTCTCTCTCTCTCTCTCTCTCTCTCTCTCTCTCTCTGCACGCGCTTTATATTTATTCGGTTCTCGTCGAAACGCAATAAAGCTCGGCGGCATTTTTATTAGAGACTACGGAATTCTAATTGGAATCCCCCCTGCGGTCTGTCGATTTCTTTGGATTTTTTCGCACGCCTACCCTCGCGCGCACGCCCCGGGTTGGGGAGGGATTATTTCGCGCGGAAAATGGAAAAGCGAATTTTGCGCAGCGCGTCGGGATCAACCGGGATTCGTAACGAAGTTCGCGGTGCAAAGTTGTAATTGAATTTGATTGTACTTACATTGGTTTCCCTCCTGCGCGCCGAACGCAACCAGCATTTTTGCCAACGGCCTGTTGTTGCTGAGCACGGCGACGTCCAACGGTGACAAGCCGTCGCTGTTAACACTGAAAATGAACAGAGTGCGCGAGTTGGTACAATTGCAATTTTTCGCTTACAAACTCGGGGCTAAAGAGGCAAATTTAATCAAAACGCTTATATCTAAGTAAGACGACGGTCCTAATTATGGGTCATCTAAGATTAGGGTAACTTTTAATTATTTGCACAAAAGACAATAGGGCCTATTTTGGCCGGACAAGTGTAATGTAAGTTTCACGCGTAAGTCTAGTTTTTTGGATCGCTGAATGCGATGAAAACATTTTTATCTCTATCCGTGAGAAAATGATGAAGATTCGCCTTAAAGCTGTCGAAATAAGTCACCCTCAATAATTAATTCGGTTAATGGCGGTTTTGCTGCAAATATTTAATTGCTTGTATTATAGTTTAGGTTTTTTAATGGTTTTTTCACTGAAGACTAAGGAAATACTTGAAAATGAAACACTTCAGGAATGCCAAGTTTCCTTATAAGAAGTTTTTAAGTAGAATCTCTGGAATGGCGTGGAAGAGTCTACCATTAGCCACTTTAATATCTTTAAAACTGCACAAGGTATGCAGGCTACACATCTGATGGTACTTGAGATTCTTTGAATAAGAAAATTGGCTATCTTCCTTAATTTTCATATCGTTACGTTTATATCTCACGTTACACTTTTTGCCAAAATCGACCCATTTTATCGGCAAAACATTAAAACGAACTTGATACCAATATATAAATAACTGATATCATAATATTAAAACAAAATTATTAGGCTTTAAATCAATTTATTTTAAATTAATTATAAATGAAAATAATTAGAAACATTAATGTGTAAATCCTAGCTACTGTCAATAAAATATTACACGTCCATATAACGAGTCATACGATGCAATTTTACATTAATAACGTCCATATTCATATTGCTTTAGTCTATATAGACTATGTAGTCTATATAGATAATATACGTAGCGTAATCTATTCTAGCAGGTTCATAAATTTGAAGAGTCGATAAAGCAACTCATATCTTAGATATCGTCTTTAAATATTAAGGATATTTGTGGAGATATAACCGTAGAATATAATTGCAAAAGAACTAAGGGACGCAGAACAATTTTTTCTGTGTTTTGATTATAATGTATAATTTTTTAATCAATCTACTTTGACCCGAAATGTTAGGACTCGACTCATAATCGGGACTGTCACCTTATTCTGCTGTCAGTTTTGTTATCGTTAGGCAGTAATCAGAACGAAATAGTTCGTGCGAAACGAGTGTAACGATTTAAACGTGCTCGTACTTGTAATTTCATTTCGCGCTCTGGATCGTCGTCGTCGTTAAGATCAGAGCCGAGAAATTTGTCGTCGAATTGTCCCGCTTTTACGTGACGTCGAGAGCGTCCGAGATTCCGGTCAAATGAAAGGTTCCGTGGAAGTTTTTCGGATAACGTTTATGTAGTTACGAGAGGTCGATAAAGATTCGATAAAACACGCGTGGGGTCGCGCCGAGCTCGTTCCTGAATTATAAATCGCTGTCATGGCACCTTAGCCCGAGCCTCACACTCCGCGCCGCCCAATTCTATCTTGTGTATTTCACTTTTACGACCTTTTTTCGCCACGGCGCTCCATTAGAATGGAAAATTTTCGCTTCTGACCATCGCGTAAAAGTCGCGGCGTTAAAAAGATTCGCTCAAAAACATTTAATTACTTTCAACGCCGAGCGAGCGAGCGCGACTTCGGTGCGCAAACAAAGGTGTGGGATAAACATTAACGACATAGAAACGATCGTAATAAACGTCAGCCAAATGAGCTTTCCTCTGTACGTTAACTCTTCGCTCGTAACGGGAGTTTTCGACCGTGTTATCGCAAATGCCGCGCCTGCCACAAACAACTCCCATAACTTTTCATCTCCAACTGCCTATTGACTATTTCATACGAATTTTCTACATTAACGGTTACACATACTCTAAATTAAGTTGAAACAAATCATTTCGTGCATTTCATTAGCACAAAACAGAATGAAAACGGTTCTTCTCGAGCGTGAGTTTGCATTTATCTCTGCACACATGTTATTTTCCACATTTTCTTTGTATAACAAAATTATGTAATTACATAAGTACATAAACATAATATAAGGTCTACAAGAGCCAAGCATAAGAAAAAAGTATGTAAGAATTTATTAAAAATTATCTTTAATATACAATAATTAATTGTATTGTAAATATTTCGGTTCATGGTTCACGATTTACGTAAGACAATTAATTGTCTTGAAATCTATGTTGAAAGTTAGTTGTCTATATTGAAGACAATTTTTAATAAATTTTTTATTTTATTTCGCTTTTGATTTTTTGAGTCATCTTGATTTTTAATCTCAGAGCCTTTTACCTATATTTCTCTTGAGATATACAAAGTAACAAATTTATTTTCCATTTCGTGGCAATTGTCGATCGAATTTTTCCGGCGACATACGCCGGAATAAAATGTTTTCGCGTAAATCCATTTGCGTGCTCGTTAACACGACCAGTCGATTTGGCAGCAGAACATCGCGCGGTGTCCATATAATTCATTTATTCACGGCCAACCCCTTCGACGTAGTCGCTAACAGGAAGCTTCGCTGTATATAATATATCCCCGGGCGACAAATCGGCGACTATTGCGCGCCGGAAATAGAAGCGAACGACCATTTTCCGCAATCACCACGCGCGGTCGGCTACGAAAAACTTCCAGGAGCGTTAAAGCGCGACAAGGCACGCCTCGTCGCTTTAAAGAGACCTCTGCGATGTGCATTGCGGAAATATCCAACACATTTTCGCCCGTCGCGAACAATACGTCGCGGTCCGACGGGCTTTAGACGAGTTCCAAAGCCGACTGTGTCGAACGGTTCGAATCGAGAAACATCCATTGCGAAGATACGCACTTGTAATTTGGAGCATTTGAACGCAAACGAAGGGAAGTTACACGCTCTGCGCAAAAAACATCCAGGACAAAACGGAAGAGCGAAAATTTTTCACTATATTTGACTTGCTATATGACTTGGTTCTAATAAATGATATCACGGTGAAATCATTGTGCTCCAAAGGTGGTTTCAGACGTGCAAAAAGAGATTCAGTCAAGACAACACATTTGGATTTGCAATGCGTCTATATTTCACAAGCGTTACTCAAGTAAATCTAAAGTTACACTCTAATTTCTTTCTAATTTGTACAATATCTTGTATTCAATTTTATTTCTTATGCATTTTGTTGCACTTGTTGATGATAGAAGTGAGAACATTAAAAAGCTATAAACTGTCCGTGAAACTCAAAGTGAACCAAAATGAAAAAATGAAAATGAAAAAATATGACCTAAGTATTTTTTATATTTCTACATTTGTGCCAAATTAGAAAGAAATCGGAATGTACTTTTTGGATAGGTTTACTTGTCAGTCACCTCTACCTTCCACATATATTGATTATAGATTGAAGAAATACAGTATAGATTTCTAAGATTTGTTAGTTTTCACATTTCTAGGTAGATTTCGTAAAATTTTTGAGCATTATTAAACGCTATAATTAGTAATTTTATAATTGATAATTTTGGTTTATTTTATTTTTGTTTTCGTATTTTCTTTTTATTTTTGTATTCTCTTCATTATTCGTATAAGAGTTTTGTCCCACAAAATTAATAAGTGAATAAACAAATAAACGTTTCGTTGCGGGAGAGAAGTATGTACAATTTTTCATCTCTTCTCTTATAGTTTCTATTCGTTTTTACTTCGCTCAGTGCTTCGCGAATAGTTTTCTACTATCTCGTTGAATTCCTTTGAGAATATGGACGTGGTGGAAGAGAGAGGAGGCTGAGGAAGCTCGCGGTTCGAGCGATTATTTTTTGCGGTCTCGGCGGCCAGGATATATGCTGACCTAGATCTCGCGGGATCCCTCAAGATTCGCTCGAGTCAAATCGAATCAAGATGTTAGTTCTGCGTTGGTCGAACAATTCCTAATGGCGCGATTGACTGTTTCTATAGCGGCGCGCCTCGGAAGTTCCCGCCCGTATATTCGATTAAAGCCCTCCCTTCTAAAGTAACGTGTATCTCGAGCTGAAACGGCTTTTAGGTCGCTACGGCGGTGTGCTCTTTCGAGGGGAGACGGTGCGATCCTCGCGAGCGAAAGTCTTGCACGACAGAGACTGTCGCCGATGTGTACACACAGGGAGAACAGGGGATGAATGTTACATTCCGCCGCACGTGACTCCCATCGAGAGCTGTATGTTCAAATTAGCAAAGCGATACTTAAACGTTTAACCGATCAGCCGGAGAGATTAACGCGTCGCTCGGCTTTTTTCCTTCGACGGCGAGTCGTCGCTCTGTCGCAAGCTCTGTGCCACATCCAGCGGAACAAATAACAGATTCACCTTATTTATAGTAACAGACTCACCTATTTACGTCCACATCGGTAGACTCCAAAATCGTTCTCGCTTTATCCAGGTGACCATGTTCCACAGCCGCGAACAGAGCTGAAAGTAAAACGGCGACGATGCCGAAATTAGTTTTCATTGGTACGTCCTTGTGTTTATGTTTCATCGTACGGACAGTGAGAGAGAAAGAAAGAAAGAGAGAGATAAAGTTCGTCGCGGAAAATTCGATGTATAAACGAAAAGAAGTGGATTAAAGAGAAAGAGCGAAAAAAGGTGAATTAAAGAGAGAAATAAGGTAATATCGCGACTCCTGGATACTAACACACTGGTACCTAACTCTGGACATTCTCATGGCTTTGCTCTTTAAATACGAATATTTCCATATAATAATATAAATAAATATTTCCATATAGAATATATACATATATATGAATGCATATATATTTTTCGCGTTAAAAAGTTCAATATTCGTGTTTAAAAATCAGAACAACATTGAGAAAAAAACATTCTTGTTTATTTCACAGAAATAAATTTTCATCCCACATACAAATAAGTTTTCTGAGGTTCTTTTTCTCAATGTTGTTCTGATTTTTAAATACGAATATTTCTATAAAGAATATATACATGTATATGAATATAGACATATTTTCTGCGTTCAAAGTTTCAATATTCGTGTTTAAAAATCAGAACACTGAGAAAAAGAACACTTGAGAATATACTTGTGTGTGGGATGAAAGTTTATTTCACAGAAATAAACTTTATATCCCACAAATAAATTGTCAAGTATTTCTTCTCTTAGTGAATAAAAATATCCAAAGTTAGTCTACCAGTTATTGGTGTTCAGGTATTGACACTTTTAAGAAGAGTCAAGATACGAGAAAGAAAAAAAACACAAAATACCATGCAGATGTATGTTGAGGGATTGGGCTGAGAGAGGATTGATGTGTATCGACGACAGATTATTCAGTTGTTGGTGGGGCTGCTGTTTCTTCTTGCCGAAACCCTCCAGGAACTCCATCCCTTGCAACGAGTGTAACTCTGTGCGAACGAAAACAAATAAAGGGATAAAGCAAAATAAACAAACAGTAAGAAATAAAGTGAGGGAAGTAAAAACGCCACGAAAACCGATCAGCGGGCAAACGATCGACGTAAGATATCGAAAAATCCGAGTAAAATTGAGATGCGTCTCGCGATTAATGAAATTTCTGTGATTCATCACGAATCCGCAACTTCATTTATTATTATCAGTAAAGTCTGTCTTGTTAAGGAACATAGCAAATTGCACAGTATTTACATTTTTTACATAGCATACTTCAGTTCCTGAAACGAAAAAACAAAAATAGCGTATATAAAACGAAAAGGTAGTAAATTACTACAAAATGTGTCTCGGTTGTGAAATTCTACAGTAACTCTTTCTATAAAACCGTTTCCGTGTGTATTACGAGACGAGAAACTTCTTAAGTGCACGTGAAATGAAGGCCCATTTTAAGTCGCATGAGCTCGCATTAAGACCTCTCTCGGAAAAAATACAGCCATTAGAGAAAAGAAAAAGAAGTTTGACGAGAGACTCCGCGGATTATTTCTCCCTAGGAATACCCTGCGTGCCGTGAATGACTCGCGCATTCTACGCGAAGCGCTTTCACGACTAGAGATTTTCCCACGTGATGTTTTCCAGCATTACAATGCCTCTTGTAGCACGGCATTTTTATTTCACGCCGAGCACTCTTTCTTCCTACAACTTTCTTCAATAATTATTTATCTATTCATCACGAAGATAAGGCAGAAACGTGGAATAAAAGTAACCAACCGAAGCGTCCGTAATATCGATCGATCTCCCTCCCCTCCTTACCCACCCCCAAGTTCTTTTCTTCCCCGAAACGTCGATAAGGCGAGCTAAAGCGATAATTCGCGGCGGAAGCTCGAGCTAACTTCCTAGGAACTGCTTAATTGCGTCTGATGTGCCGCCGACTAATTAGAAACTTATTGATCCGGCGTACTTGATCCCGATGATGTCGACACGAGAACCCGCCCCCGATCGACCTGCTCATAATCCTTCGCCTCTTTCGCACGTCCTGCCTTTTCTTACCGGTCGCCATTTTGCTGCGAAAACTACCGGCGCGGCCGCTCGTCCAAAAGTTCGTGATGTTATCGACCGTCCTGATTCCGCAGGACTTGGAGGGACAGATGGAGTTGCCCCTTTTGACACTGTCGAGGGACCGCTGCTCCTGCGGGCAGTCAGCCTTCACGTTTTTCCCCGCGCACGTTTCGTGCAATGTCGCCTTGCAGTGGAACTTGGTGATCCGCGAACGATCGAATCCGCTGAAGGACTCGGCGATCCTGCGGTAGCCGCTGGTCGCGCTCGCTCGCTCCTCTCCTCCGTCACGCACTTGGCAGAGGCACCGCGAGGGATCGGTCTCGCATCTGCGACGAAACGCAGATTCTTGGTCCTCCACGTGTTCCTCGTTTTCACTCTTATCCCGCTCGTAGCTAGCTTTGCGACAACGAGGCTGATTAGTCATTGCTTTATGGGAATCCACGATGACAGTCAGTACGTTGCGGTCACTTTCGCAATCTTGCCGTTGCTCCTTGCTCCCACCCTGTTCCTCCTCTACAGCCTCTTCTCCGACCTCAAAGAGGAAACTCGAAACGGAGGAGTCCAGTGAACTATCTGGTAGAAACACTGGGTTCTCATAGGACGCTTGTTTGCCTTGTTGACACGTGTCCACCTCGCAGGACACGCGTTTCTCGTGGTGCTCCTTGCCCCGAGTGCTCTCCTGCGAGCTCTCCGTACTGTGCTTTCTGCGAAAGATACGAATGACCTTCGGTGACTTGACACTCTCGTCCTTTTCGGAGGATTTGTCCGCGTCCTTGCGACCTTTGCCCATTATCCTGTCGGCCAGGGACAATTTGTTCTTCAGGTCTTTGGCGATCTCTCGCGACTCGCGGTCGTCTTTCACCGAAGTCTTTCGAGAACGCGACAACGACGACTTGTCGGCGTGACCGACCTTGTCATCAGCGCGGGAATTCGTTTCCTGAGAATTCTTCTGCGGACTCGAGGGTCTCTCGTGCCGACGAGGCTCCTCGAGAACGCAGTGGTTGCGCTCCTTTTTCGTGGGATTCTTCGAGGTGGGCGAGAGCTCGAAGCCGACGGCCAGTCGCAGATTGGCATGATTGCGTATCTTCGACATTAGCTTCACGGACGCCCGGTAGGATCTCGACCTCTTCAAGGTCGACATCCTGCCGCCCGACGAACGTCTCGAGAGCAATTCCATCTTCGGGCTGGATGAGGAGGTTTTGCGAAATTTCATCTGGGCACGTCTCGATCGAGCAAGATCTCGCCGACGCCTGCGAGTGCCGCGACACTCCTCCTCGTGTCCTCGAACAAACGACGCGAATTCTCGCTCGTTGCGTTATCACACGCCTTATTCAAATGATCCGCGCGCCATTGTGTCGCGGGTAGTAAGGCACTTATTGTCTATTCGCTCTCTCACTCTTTGGTAGGATAAAGCTGCGAAGTCGGGGATTCCTCGCAAATCCGTAAAACGATTCTTTGGCTCGGTAAAGCTGCAAGTAGAGATCATCGACTTGATCAGCCGGTCGTCGCTGTGATCCCAACGCGACGGCACTTCTCCCTCGAATTGCACGACGGAATTTATGATTGTTATTACGTCTCGCCGGAGTTACTTAAACGCGTTCCCGAAGTGTTGATTTTCTTGATGTGATTACGAACTTATTCGCGAAGGCTTGTGGAGTTACCCAGCTTCAGTTAGCGAGGACGTTCAGTCGAGCCAACTCTCTCTTCCTTTTTCCCTCTCTCTCTCTCTCTCTCTCTCTCTCTCTCTCTCTCTCTCTCTCTCTCTCT